GTGAAAAACCCAGCCCCCCCCCCCCCCCCCCCTCTCTCTGGTGAATGCGGCCCAGCCAGTTTGGATCACGTTGTTTTCCTCGTACTGCGCTGATAAACGCGCGGCCATATGAGACCCAGGTGCCATATGAGCGGAGGGACTAGTTAGCAGCTAGTTAACCCTTTCACTGCGGTCTTCATTCTGGAAAATCCTCTTTAAGTGTTTGGTTGTTTGACAGCTACCACATGTCACACGGAGTAATTACTAAACTACTGTAAACAATCATTTTAAATAGTATTTGAATTAATTAATTAAGCAATTAAGGGCACCCTTGAGTAAGCAAAACATTTCCAAACTATGTTTCATATGGAATACAAGATCACGGTATTTTTATAAAAAGCAACAATTTAATTTTCTAAAATATATATATATTTTTGTGATGTAATGACAGCAGCATTAACAGCAGCAGTGACTCTTTGTTATAAAACATTTGTTATACATAACTAAAATTATTCAATTAAGTTCTTAGGAAATATTAAATAAAGTATAATTTTCCTGATTTAACCGTTTTTATGCATTTATCAAGTTAAAAAAAGTTATTTAGAAAACTTAGAAAATGTAAGTTAAAAAACTTATGAAAAATGAAAAAAAAATCTTATAATCTTTAGACTTTGGGTTATTTTTATTTTCTTATTTATTTATTTATTTATCCACTCATTCAATCTAGGGGACAAAAAAGTGATCCTTGTTGAAGAATCAGCCTTATATATATATATATATATATATATATATATATTTGAACTTCATACATTTCGTATTTGAATATAAAAAGTGTGTTGTGTTACAGAAATAATTAAGTGAAATTAGTAATGAATGATCGATTTTGATACAACATTTGCCAACAAATAGATTTAGTGTTGCCAGAGTAATGACTTTATCTTTTGTTTCGGCATGTTTATTGCCTTCTTGTGCCTCAGTGCAAAGCAGGCTAATTTGTTTTCCGATTGGCTGGCTCGTGGTAACTTGTTTATGACGTATTTGCTCCGTGCTGACGCTCACTGAAGGCAAAGTAAAGAGTCTGAATGCATTTCCATGGGCTGCGGCATTTGCACAGTTGCCTTTAATTGCAGAGAAGCACTGCCATTTGCTAATGAACCCAAAGCCATGAAAACCTCTGCAGTGCTTAAGACTTCAGTACTCGAAGGCTCTTTAGATTATTCCATGTGGCCTGAAGAAGGGTTGAAATAATTGAAATGCTGAATAGTTTTTCTGTTTGCAGTTTCCTTTCTGTTTTTTTTTTCAGGGCCAATTTAAAAACTAAGGGTGTTATTACAGAGTAAGCTATGCTATTGATGTACTTCATAGAGGCCACCCAGAAGTTACACAGTTTTTGTGCTTAATAATTTGTGATCCGAAATATCATTTTGCATGATTTTGTTATATGCTCAGCTTTTAATGAATGAGAATATTTCGGCCTGTTTTAAAGGGTTCCATAAATAATGTCACTGTTTCCCTGCCATGAGAGATTCTTTTAGTTGTTGTTATATCCTCACTGTTGAATGTATCACTTGTGCTCGAGAAAACATCTTTTTGCACTTTTGGATGAGAACTGAGCATGCAAAAGCAATTTTTATCCACTCTGTTTTTAGTTAACGTTAGTTAAGTCATATTGTGCATGCTTTTGTTTTTGTTGTGAACCAAAAGTATTGTCTTTTTAAGCGTAGATTATTTGCTTCTTTTGATAGTACACTAGTTGGGCAATGTTGAAATTATTACTGTGCTATAATCATAGTCTTTGTTGAAGTAATGAGATGGTGAGATCCCTCGTTCTTTATCTGGACAAATGTTGGCTGCTGTCAACGATTCAACAAGTGATATAAAGAACAAACATGTGACTATTTTACCCTTTGAAGAAGTGGCATGGGAATATCAAATTGTGGTTTCTCCGATTAGTTAAATTGAAAACAGGCATTATGCATCGAGTTAAATGCTCTTTTTAAAGAGGCGCTCTGAGTTAAGTTCATGAGATCTGTTAAAAAAATTAGCCGTATTCATATATAAACTATTTATAAACATATAACATTGCTTGTGTGTAACTTTCTAAACTTTTTAAGTTTAAACTTCTTTGCAATTCCATAGTTGTTGTTATTTATTTTACATAATTTGCCTACGAGAACGGTCAACTTTGTAATTTTAAGAAATTAAGCTTTATCCCACTACGATTTGTTTTTAAGCCAGTGATGTGAAAGCTATTGTAATTAAAGGAGATGTGTGATTACCCTACAGTGCCATTAAGGGTGACTCTACTGGTTTTTAAACGAGATCTCACCCACAGGCCATTTTAAGAGATTTCGCTTTCTCTGTAGACCAAAACTAAGCAGTTTATTATTATTTTTTTTTTAAATTATTCCCCCCTCCCCAATTTTGCTCCATTTTGCTTTGTAAGATTTGTTAAAGGAGGTGTTTGGGGGATTGGACTGTTCTTGCATTCACCCTCCCTTTTCTGTTTCTGTGCATGCCAGTACCACATCCATTCATTTAAGAAGCCCTAATGTTTTGAACCAACAACCACGTGGTCTGTTATCAACCACGAGGATCTCAGCCTTATCAACAAGCCAGGGTAAACAAATAAACAAGTGTCCTGAACAGATTTAGTCTTTGGTTTTGCATCCACTGGGCAAAGTTCATGTATGAATCTTGTGCTTCCCAAGTATTTCCCAGCAGAGCTTGAGTATTTTAGTGAGCTTGTTCAAGTGTCCTTGCTAATCTTGTTTGATGAGGCATATAAAACCTCTCTCTTTTTCTCGCTCTATGTGTCTGTCTCTCTCTCTCAGTCCATTTTGTTGTGCTATCTAGATAAAGCCAGAACCAAAAATAGTACAATGTGACACTGGTGGGTGTGTGTTAAAAAAAAGCAGTCACTGTGGCATGAAATTGTAAACATATATTGTTTATAAGTTTTCTTTCCCCTGTGAAGTCTACAGTAACCCGAGACATTTTTCTTTATTATTATAAATGAATCGGAAGACCGATATTCTTTGCATGAGTGCTTGTATAATGTGCAGAGAAAGAGAGCTTCCATCTAAGACCCAACACAATGAAAATTCAATGAATTGGAATGCCTCACCGATCATAGCAGAATCAGAATTTCCAGCAAGGAAAATCTTTTCATGGCGAATTAAGCGGTGGAGGAAGAAAATGAAAAATGAAAAAATAAATAAATAAATAAAAGGAAAGGCACAGATGACAAACGCTGCTCCCTGGGCTACGCACTGCAGATTTAAGAACTTTAGTCAAAGCTATCCAGAATAGAATGTGGAAAATTGAATTTACTAAACAATTAAGCATTGAATTAATCTACATCCTGCAGTTGAGAGAGAGAGAAGGACATAAGGAGGGAAAGAGAAAAGGAGCAAGGGAAGAGAAAACATGTGGAGGGGGAGGGGACGAAGCCCAAAAAAAAAGAAAACGACTGAATAAATCCTAGCTAGCTCATTAGAGGGACAGTGAATATATCAAGTGTGTTGTTCTGTGCAGCAGGACGGCATTCTCTCCGCCACGGCACTCATCTCTCCCATAACCATCTGCATCCACACCGCCTCCACCCGCTGTTCATTTTGGCCCACATATTTACTCCTTCGCTTATGTGCCTCTGCAGTTTCCTTTGGGTGTCTGCTTGCTGGTGGACTGCTCTGTTTTTTTTTTATTATCATTAATTAGTTGTTAGATCAGTGGTGGACGAGATTGTTGGGGCAGTTATAAATAGACTCGAGTGCACCCTGGAGATGTCACTCACCCTCGGCCGAGACCCTCCCCCATTCCCATGGGGCCGAGCGGCAGCCTCCCACAAGCCCCGCTGCTCTTTTGTTCAATTACAGTTAATGCAATAGCTTGCTATTTTCTCATTCTAATTATATTTTCAAGTGGTATTTGTTGTGCGTAAAAACATCCTTTTACATGTGGATGCTCTGGGGTTCTCGGTCTCCAGGGTGCTGTACCATTCTTTTCCACAAAGCTCTGTATAAACAAGTTCCCTCCATTTCTCTCTACTTATGTGCCTCTGCAGTTTCCTATGGGTGTCTGCTTGCTGGTGGACTGCTCTGTGTGTGTTTTTTTTATTATCATTAATTAGTTGTTAGATCAGTGGTGGACGAGATTGTTGGGGCAGTTATAAATAGACTCGAGTGCACCCTGGAGATGTCACTCACCCTCGGCCGAGACCCTCCCCCATTCCCATGGGGCCGAGCGGCAGCCTCCCACAAGCCCCGCTGCTCTTTTGTTCAATTACAGTTAATGCAATAGCTTGCTATTTTCTCATTCTAATTATATTTTCAAGTGGTATTTGTTGTGCGTAAAAACATCCTTTTACATGTGGATGCTCTGGGGTTCTCGGTCTCCAGGGTGCTGTACCATTCTTTTCCACAAAGCTCTGTATAAACAAGTTCCCTCCATTTCTCTCTCTCTCTCTCTCTCTCTTTCTTTTACAAAGGGTTGTAGAAACTGGCAATTTCAGTTTTAACTCTTTGCTCCCTGGGCATGTGTTCTAGATTACATCTTACGGCATACTTTTGGTATGCTGCAGAATATACTATTTTTTTTCTCCTGGATATAAAAAAAAAAACATATCTAGAATGGCTGGCACCATTATGCCTGAAGTTTTTAGGAGACTTGCGGCAAGTCTATCAAATGCAGTTTGGATTGTTTCAGATTTTATTTTATTTTTGCAAAAAGAAGATTACATAAAGAAGAGTACTATTTACCTAGAAATGTTGTGACAATAATGGAACTTTTTTTTTTTGCACATTTGTCTCTTCATAGATTATCACAGAAATGGAAAGCAATTCATTCCCAAAGTTCTACTCTGCTTATGTAATATTTTGTCTATTTTGATAATATTTTCAATAAGAATACAGTATTCTTAACTACGTTTAGCACAATTATTCATGTTTAAATCCTGAAGACTGTGAATATTCACTGCAAAACCTGTATTTAAAAGCACAAAAAAAGTCTTAACGATTTCCTGGTCCTGCTATTGAGAATTATCATCTCTGATACGCGTCTTTTTACATCAGAAAAGATGTTGCGGCCTTCATCTCATATTTTCCTCCCACAGTTAATGTTACTTTTGTGGAGGCAGCCAGTGATAAGAGGCAACATCTGTTTTGTTCTATAGTACAAGTAGACCCTGCGTGGGGCTGAGTGTGTGCAGGCCCCGGCTCGCCATTGTTCCGTCCACTTCTCTTTATCCCCATGTCTGCTCCATTTGCCACATACCATCCGCCCAACAGCTGACACTTTCTCTCTATTATACACCTAAGCTTAATTGTCAATAGGATTTCTCTCTCTTTTTTTCTTCCTCCTCTTCCCAACTTGAAGGAGAATGGCTCTTATTTGATTTCATTTTGACACACGCACACACATATACTCTCCCTCACTCTGGGATATAAGTGTGGGGACTGACTGGCTCTTGTTGAATTCAGAGAACTCATGTTAGCAAGAGCATGTGTATGGACAGGCACACACTTTTTTTAAATGCTAATGCTAATTCCTCTTTCATTGTTTTTATATTTTGGTTCTGGACTATAGATATCTTGTTTCGGGTAATACAAGCTTTTTACTTAGAGGCTAGTTTGTGTTAACTGAAATAGTTTGTTTTTTTGTGTCATTAAAATCCTCTGTGACAGGGTTTGGTCCATCATTCTTGTGAGCTGTGCTGACTGAATTGTCGTGTGAGGTTGTAGGGCCTGGAAAGAGGATGAAAATCAATGAAATGAGGAACATCTGATAAAGCCAGCTGTCTTTGTAACATGGGACTGTAGCATGTGTGTGTTTCTCTGTGATCTGATGCCTGATTGTGGGCCTTATTCTCTCTCTTTCTCTCTCACTTTCCGCACAGACTTCATGGAACAGAGACCATGACGATGCAGCTTCTACACGCTCCGGGGGAACACCAGGACCATCCAGTGGAGGACACACATCGCACAGCGGTGACAACAGCAGTGAACAAGGTAAGGATCTGTGATGTCCTTTGGTGCATATGTAAGGGATAATGTACAGTCAGTCTGTCATTATCATAAAATAAAGCCTGACAGGGTTATCAGGACTGTAAATTGGCTTGCATGTTACACAGTTACTTACAAATTAAATAAATAAAAGGCCAGGGGATATTGATCTTAGTTTATCATTTTATTATGTGAGAAGAAAGAGACCACAGAGTGATAGGACAGAAACTAGCACAGTTAGCTAGAAAATATGGGACAATGATTAGTTATATAGTTTGCACAATACTTGATTGAAGCATCGACCAATCAGAGTCAAGTATTACAGAGCGCAATGTAATAAGTATGCTTCTATGGAAATGTCACTGTCTGTCTATGCAGATGTGTCCAGCTTACCATCTGAAGCTGAACATGTGCATGGAGAGAGTTAAAGCAGATGTTTAGGCTGCTGCTGGCTGGTCATGTGGCCGTAGGTCCATCAGCTGGTTGGGATAAGACTGCATTAATGAACCTTTCTCTGGGCCCAACTGGACAGGGTGTCTGAAGAAAGCCGCTGGTGATGACAGTCTAACAAAAGAGCATTTACAGTGATGGAGCTTTATACATTGTGTTATGTTCCAGACCAAGATTATGGAACTTTCAAAGAGAAAAGATATATTCTCAAAAAAAATAAATAAATAAAAAAACTCTCTTGGGTATCTTCTTTGGAGGATTTCTCTCTCAACGGAATGAAAGCTAATGAAAGCGAACTTCACTTAATTCGTCATGTCAACAAAATTCAAACTGTAAACAGAATCATCAGCTGTTCGGCACTGTGATTGGCTAGTTGTGTGGTTTAGCCAATGAGAACTGGTGTAGGGGTTGCCGGATGGAAGAATGGAGGAGGGTTTCAAACAAACTGTACGTAAAAAAGCAACTTCATTTATTATTGAATGGGATGTCAAGGCAGCAGTTTGAGGGCTGCACAGCCAGCAGGCAAAGCAGGATGAGAGCAGAAAGGACCACATTATGTTCCAGATGACTGAGCAACGATTTATTTACCAGCGCCAGTTTTCTCCCCCCACAGAGAAGAAGAGCAAAAAGAAAGAGGGCAGCCCGGCCTAGTCGGTCAGATGGCCAGTGACTAATGGCCCGGTTGCTCGCCACATTCTGATTGGATGCCTTAATGAGCACTTTTTGTGCCGAGTTTTGGCTCCTGCGGTGACCTTTGCTCTTTATTGACTAAAGTGACACGTCATTTTTCACATACTTCCAATTATCGCCAGGCTTTTACTGTTTACCCCCTTCGTCATCCCCTCATGTTCCCTCACCCCAGTGTTTTGGATGAATGTTTGATGTGTCGTACGCTAGTGGGAAGAGGCTGAGCTATGAACCTGGACATATGCTGAGTGTGTTTAGCGGGAACAAATGACCTAAGCACTTCAGCCCCTTCAGTCTTATTCACACCAGTGGAGGTTTAGTGGAAGTATTATGTTAATGTGGGTTAATTGCTGATTGTGTAAAACAGTGCTGCTAACCGTATTAGCATGTTCTGTAAGGAGTGACTTCATAATCCCAATAAGACCATTATTCTGCTGTTGGCCAAGAAACTCATGCCAATATGTCCCCAACTGGTCCCCTCTCTCGCACTCCTTTTTCCCTCTGTATTGCGCTTCTTTCCATGTGCTTACACTTTATAATTAGCATTAATTAGCATCATATTCTGAACTACGTGCCAATCATGACATGGACTCACGTTTAAGTTATCTAGATGCTGACGAACACTTACATTTTTTTAATTCCACCTGTTCTAATATTTTAGCTGTTGTTGCTCCTTTTAAGTTGAAAAAACACAAGCACAACTCTAAGCCTTGGTTAAAGGGGTCATATGATGCGATTTCAAGTTTTCCTTTCTCTTTGGAGTGTTACAAGCTGGTTGTGCATAGATAAGATCCCTGAAGTTGCAAAGACTAGTCTCAAAACCAAAGAGATATTCTTTATCAAAGTTAAGACTCTGCCACGCCCCCCTAAAACGGCTCATTCTAACACGCCCACACATATCTACCTCACTATGTGGAAATATTTGCATAATGCTGCCCAAATGTGCACGCAAAGAAGGAAGGCGTGGTTTCAGTAACCGCAGTTAGTGTTGAAGCAGCCATGTCAGGGAGACGCTGTGTGTTTCAGTGCAAAAGCAAAAGCACTTTATTTGGCCTTCCGAAAGTAGAAGCATTTAGGAATCTTTAAGATTACTTAAAACAGAACAGCAATGCGTTTTATGGACGACCGTTTCGTGAACCTAGGAGAGGAGGTAATTCTGACTTTGCTATGACAATCTGGCGCTTCTGAATCAGCTACTGTTTTGTTATTAGTTTAAGTATTTGCTATTGACTGTTCAAATGCGGAGTTTTGCGCATTGTGTGTGTGTGTGTGTGTGTGTGTGTGTGTGTGTGTGTGTTTGCGTGCGCGCGCGTGTGTGCGAAAGAGAGAGAGACAGCGTCACATCACAATAGAGTCAGCTGTCTTAACCGCGGCTTGTGTATTGCATCATTACTGTGTCTGTTCCCCTTTCGGGCTTGAACTGATGGTAAAACTAATGACATTATTTACTGTCTTTACATTTATTTTGAAAGATGAAGCTCACGACTATGGTAAGGGGCGTTACATTTCCGACGAGTGCTTGCGGTGTTCGGCCAATCACAATGCACTGGGTCAGCTGGCCAATCAGCGCAGACTGCGCTTGTCGGAAGGAGGGACTTTGTAGAAAACGAAGCGTTTGAGAGAGGCAGGACATACAATAATGTACAGTATTTGAAAAATAATGTGTTTTTTGAACATTAAAGCATGTCAACATATTCTGTTACACCAAATACACAAAATAATGATATTTAAAAAAGCATCACATGACCCCTTTAAATGACACTACTCGTTCACTCAGACAGACCTGTAGAAGGGCTGAACGTAAGTGGAATAAGGATAGATTACACGTTTCCTATGAAATCTTAAAGGACTCCCTCTCTGCATTTCAGCGAGCTGCTAATGCTGCCAAGCGTAAATATCTCTCAGAGTTAATTTTATGTAACACTACTAGGCCTAAAGCCCTCTTTTCAATAATTGATTCTGCTCTCAATCCCACTATTAATCATTTTCCTGAGACATCTGATTCTCATTGTGAGGATTTTGCTAGATATTTTAATGATAAGATCTCACAGATTAAATCTATATTGCCTTTGTCAGCCTATACACCACTTGATGTTCCTCTCTGCTGTTCTACATGGTCTGTCTTTGAGCCTATCACCTTGGACTCTCTTAATGAGATTGTTGCTTGTTTAAAACCCACTAGCTGCCCTCGGGATGTGATTCCTACACATTTTCTTAAGCAAGTTTTTCAAGCTATTGGCCCTGATTTGTTGTCTGTCATCAACAAATGTCTTTTTACTGGGACCGTACCTGACTGCCTTAAACATGCCTCTGTTTTGCCTCATCTTAAAAAAACTAATTTGAATCCCAATCTCTGAGTAATTTTCGCCCAATCTCAAATTTACCTTTCCTCTCAAAAATTGTAGAAAATGTGGTCTTGAGCCAACTTTTGCCTTTTTTGAATGATAACAATATACACGAGAAATTTCAGTCTGGTTTTAAAGCCCGTCACAGCACCGAATCGGCCCTCTTAAGAGTCATGAATGATGTAATGCTCACCACTGATACCGGGCAGTCTGTGGCTTTGGTCTTGTTAGACCTTAGCTCTGCATTTGACCTGGTCGATCACAATATTCTCTTATCACGTCTAGAAGCATGTGTGGGCTTTCGGGGTACAGTGCTCCAATGGTTTCGCTCATATTTAACCAATAGGAGTTACTCTGTCTGCCTCGGGCACCATTCTTCCTCTGATAAACATTTAAGTTCTGGGGTCCCTCAGGGCTCTATTCTTGGCCTGGTACTGTTTAATCTCTACATGCTACCTTTGGGTTCTATTTTATCTAGATAGGGTGTATCTTTTCATCTGTATGCTGACGACGCACAAATTGATCTGCCTTTAAAGCGTGACGATAAGCATGCCTTTAAGCCTATATTAGACTGCTTAGACGAACTGAAACTCTGGCTTGCTAGTAATTTCTTAAGTCTTAATGAGAGTAAGACTGAAATTATCTTGTTTGGTTCAAATAATCACAGCATTCATGATGTTGATCTCGATACTCTGTTACCTTACAGTAACACCTGTGTTCGATTTGATAAGCAGATATGTGCTGTGGTTAGGTCTTGTTTCTATCATCTTCGTCTTTTAGCAAAGGTTAAGCCCTTTTTATCTGGTAAGATTTCAAAGTTTTGTTATTTGTTTTTAAGTCTTTGCGGAACCAGGCACCACAGTACCTATCTGAACTACTGCATCCTCCTTCTCAGTCTACATCACTTAGATCTAGGGACTCTGATTTACTTTATGTTCCTAGAACCAGACTTAAAAATAGGGGTGATCACGCATTTGCGGTCATCGCATCCTAAGTTATGGAATAGCCTTCCAGCCTACATCAGATCTGCCCAAACCTTGTCAACTTTTAAATCCGCCTTGAAAACGTACCTTTTTTCCTATTGTATTGTATTAACAAGCTATCTACCTTACAAATATCTATACAACTGCTGTAAAAAGGCTCTTGTTGTTACTGCGTTGTTCCTGCATCTTTGAAACCAAAAAACGGGAGTGAATGAAATGAGAATGGCTTCGATATAGAAACGGCATCATAATAAACAAGGATATGCCTCCAAACTGCATAGGGACATTGCATACCCACATGCATAACATAGTACATCTGTAACCCATCAATGTAGAGTTTGGCACCATAGCTGATGGTTCTAGTGGTTTCCGTCCGCACCATGTTTTCCATTCCACGTCTAAATAGCATCTCAGTATGAATGAGGATAGAATTTTCCTTGTTCGTGTTTCTGTACCCATCAAAGTGCAAATGTATCCCTTTAAGGGGGGAGGATCAAGCCCACTCCTCCCTCTCTGCACTCACTGAAACTTTCTTAGCGGG